CTGGGAATGAAGTAAGTAGGTTTCCAGAAAAGGCCTAAAATACGTAGATCTACGTAAAAAGACGTAGAGTTGGCAGCACTGGTGCTGATGTTGTTGATTTAAACCATATTTTTTTCGCGTGCTCCTTATACGACTGTTCCTCTTTTATTGACTCCTTAATCCCTTCGTATTCCCCTCCCGATTCTGTAAATACTTTGCTTTATTGTATTATGTATGATATTTATTTATGTATTTCTAATTTTATCCAGAAACAATATTAATCCTGTCCTTCTAAATTTCCGTTCCTTTTTTATCCTGTTTCCCTACCTTAACACTTGTATGTGGCTGACGCACAAACCGTGCAGGCTATAAAGGAAAAAAAATATTGGCAGCACTGGCTGTGACAAACGTCAAGTAACAAAGCGCGCGCGTTTCCTTTTCATTTCAGAAAGATTTATAACCTGTCGTCGTATTTGTACCGGTGCAGTAAAAAATAAAAGTTGTTAGGGATTTACTATCACGTGAGTAAGGGTTTCCAACTAATTATTTTACTAAATTGTGCAGTACTTATTAGTTTTCAATCCACCTTGAAGTTTTTGCTTGCCAGTTACTTCACATTATTTTTTTTGTAATATTGGGGCAGATTTGATCAAAATAAACGGGGCAGATTTGAACGGGACGTTCAAATGTTTACTAATACATGTATACTAAATGTAATTCTTAATTGTAATTAAATGAATCAATAACTGTAATTCATTATTTATAGATTGGTTAGAATAGAACATACAAAAATAAGCGGGAAAGTACAATTAATGAAGATGATGTCCAAATTGGTGTTTTATGCGCAAAAAAATATTCTTATGATTAACCCTTTCGATGGTTATCATAAGATTGGTCGTGTTTTTTTTTCAAAATTTCACGAGTTTCCCAGTTGTAGCAGGCGATTTAAAAAAATCGGTGAATGCAGTTTTAGTTATTACTAAAAATAAAATGATGTCTTCTTTTAGTAAAATATCCTATCTTCAGTATTTAAATACTTATTTATATACCTTTCCTCCGTGTGAGGTAGCCGTGGAACGCCCTGTAGTTGCAGCAAATTCACTAAATATCGATTCAATTATAACTCAGAACATGAACTAAAGGGAAACATTTGAGTGATAATAGATGCCGCTGATTTATTTTTACACCACGACAGGATTTTGAAGCTATTGTAGTTCTGTCTATGGTCCCGGCTGCATCTGCAGTCGTTAGCACCCTCCAATCCGCACTGGGCCCGCTTGGTGGGTCATGGCCCAATCTCCCTATTCCATCCATAGGGAAGGTCTGTGCCCCAGCATTGGGGACGGTAATAGGCTGATGATGATGAAGTAAAACGACAATCATAGTAGGTAACTAAAACTTCATTACAAAATTAAAAATGAAATTTAGACATTTGAGTTTATATTTTCTTGAAAAACCATGTTCACACAAATCTTCTTCAGGGTCGAGTATAAAATCGAAACTGTCAACATTTACACCATTCAAGTAAAAGCTTTTGTGGAGGCGTTAAACTACACGTTATCTCGAGCGTATATTTTTCATAGATTAATTTCGCATAAAACCATTCAAGTCATGCATTAATTTAAGTTAGTTTTTAACCGACTTCAAAAAAGGAGGAGGTTCTGTGTTCGACTTTGTATATAATATAAAAATATATACTATATACACAGTCGGACACAGAACCTTATGTATATTCACCGATTTCTCCATCAATTGTGGACCGATTTCCAAAAAATATTTTTTTATTCGAAACCCCGACACACCCCGTCCTATTGGAACCAAGTCAGCATCTGATGGTCTGATGGAATCCGGGGAAATCGAAGGAAACCTTCAAATTTCAAAGGCACGCACGATGTTTTTTAAGCATGTTCAACGATTTTTCCGTCAATTGTGTAATTGTTTACTTGGACGATGTAATTTTCGCTAAAATGGATCTAATAAAAAATAAAACAGACTTCAAAATCGAAAATGGAACTAAAAAGTAAAAAATAATAAGTGTCTGTTTCATGATTTGGAAGTCGGGCGGGGTCAAGATTGGCACATTAAATATTTTTTTGTTTCTGATCAATAATAATAAGTCTTTCAATCTTGACCCGCCCGACTTCTAAATCATGAAACAGATGTTATTTTTTACTTTTTAGTTCCATTTTCGATTTTGGAGTCGGTTTTATTTTTTGTTTAATTTTTTTTACCCTTTTTTTTGCTCTAATGTACGTTGCCACTTAGATACTTCGCGAGCCTTTTTAAGCGCACATTTGGGATCGCATTTTTCTACATTTCTTTCCAATTCATCCATTTCTAAGGAAAAATTAATGGTAGTTTTCCAATTACAGCACTAGAGCGCATTATGCGGCATAATACTTAACGTTGAATGTTTCAACTACAGCAAAGCTTCGCACAATCGAGCACTCTCAAAAGTAATGTTTTCGTGTGATGCGTGCAATCGTACCAACTCAGTGACAGAAAATTAACAAGTGTTTTTTCTTTAAGTTGGCATTGATCGAAATGTTTTATTTATTTACTATCGTTAGTAATATTATTCATTGTTGAAATTTTTTTAAAGCTTTGGTTTCATTGTAGTTTTTTTTAAATAATCAAAGTTAATTCAAACTGTGTTAAAAAAATAAATGGATGAAGGTACAAACATTGACTTTTCTTTTCAACACTGAACTTAGCGCACTCTGCTGGTGCATTTGAAAAGTAATTCACGTTCTAATTAAGCATCAGCATAATTCGGCATTGTGCGCCACTGAGTCGCATTATGCTCTGTAATTGGAAAACTACCAATAAAATCCCTCCGTAATCTTTCACTGTCGCTATTCTGTCAGTGTTGCCAGGTCGGATTTTAAAAAATCGGGAGACGTTACTGAAATATGCAGTAGATGTAGGTATTAAAGAAAGAGCTGCAAGAAAAAAACAGAAGATACAGGGGCGTATTATTTCCGAAGATTTGCAAGGACACCTGGCAACCTGTATACTGTTAACACCATCACGTGACACAAATGTACGTGCTGTAATTGGCCGCTGCAGTTTTAGAGGAATTTGAATCATACCTTACCTATTTTAGGGGGTTTTGCAACGAAACTCAATTTTTAAGCGCAGTTTTCAAGGATTATAGCGGCTTTTGGTATAAAAAAAAACGCAAAAGCTGGTAGTAAATTCAAAGCACTCTCATAATTATTATTAATATAAATAAACGAAAATTGTGTACTGTACTGTTTTAGAGGGTTTTGAAACTGAACATCATATATATATTAAAATATATATAGGTATACAGTTAAAACCAGTTTTTAGATAGAACACGTTCCCTAGTTAGAACTAGTTTTTATTAAATGCCTTTGTTAAAACTAGAATTGACTAATGCTCAAAATGGAATATCAGTTAAAACTACAAAGTTCATACTAGACAACACTCGCTTTTCCAAAGCGAGCCAGTTAAAACTGTTCTCAATAACCAAACCACCTGAATAACTTGTTCTAAATATTTACAGATCAGATTAGGGACCCTGTCGGGCACAGCAAATAAAAATTATTTTAATAATGCCAATTTCTAACAAAATCACTATACTACAACACTACACTAAAACAATTTGAGATCAGGCTTTCTTTTTGAAGTTATACTTCTTTAGCCGCGTTATGAAAAAATTATGAGAGTGAAATTTTCATCACTGTAACACAAAATTTTAACATAATGAAGTTAGGCGCGGGCGCGTTATTTGTAATATTTTATTTTCCAAGTGACCGTGGGGCAGATTTGAACAAAGCAAACAGGGCAGATTTGAACGGGACATTGAAATGAAATGAAATGAAATTTATTCAGTCTAGGCAATTACAAGCACTTGTGAAGGTCAAGAACAAACACAACGTGTTTAATTGAAGATTTTGAATATTTATTTAATTTTTCAAATTAAAACTGAACTTAATTGACTGTGTTAACTATCCTTTTCCAGTCCTCTTATTATTTTATTGTAATTATTAATTATTTGCATGCAATTAAAAAATATTTTAATGATGCTAAAGAAGTATAACTTCTCACGCGCGTACATAAGTTACACGCATCCATTTTTTTTTATTTAATACAATAAGTTTATTATTAGATATATTTTTTCCAATTTCATAATTAATTTAATTTAATCATTTAAATAAATAAATAAAAAACAAAAATTAAGTAGAATTATGTTATTGTAATATTTACTATACTTCAGCATATTATAATGCTTAGACAATTTTTTAACTTAATTTTTTTTTATTATTTAACTGTTTTTTAACTACTTATAAACTCGTATAGATATTACTTACTATCCTGTCACAAATTAACTAAAACTGAAGAAATTATTATACATGGGACTTTAATTATTTTCTGGCTTTTGGCGATTACGATAATATTATAAGATATTTTGCCTAGGTAGGTAATAAACCTATACAATTAGGGCGGGCGTTGGCCTAGGGCGTTATTATTCTAACTCCTAGGGTTTGCATAATGTACCTGTCCGCCTACCGGCAATGTGTCGTCGGTTCTTCGACAATTAAAGGAACGAAAAAGACAGATGGATGTAAGTTTACAAATAGCAAATACCAATAGCCAAGTGAGGTGCCGGTACACTTGCAGAAGTTGACTTGCCACACATATTTATTTACATAGTGGTATCACATTTGTAAGGCGCTTTGCAGACGGCGGGGCGGAGCGGGCCGGTCAATTTCGCCGCAAACGATAGCACAAAGTGAATCCTATCCATATATATATATATATTTATCGCAGGTTCCCGGCGGGCACTGGCGGCGCGGCATGTCCGCGACTGCCCGCCGTGGATCATACAAACCAGTTTATATGCAGCAGCGCAGACGGCGGCGCGGGGCGGCTAGCTCAGTCCGCGCCACGCGCTATTTAGTGACGGACTATTCACTAGAACGAACGTCCTGAACTGACTGCCTCTGCCCGTCGTGTGCTTTGTATACGCGGCGAGGGCAGCCGCAGACATCGACGGGCAGACGCGGTTTTTATTGCTACGCGGACAAAAAGTCCGCCCCGCCCTGTCGTCTGCAAAGCGCCTAAAGAAACGTACAATCCGTACAAAGGTAAAGCTTCATTACACCGCGCTGCGATCGTTTCACTACTACAAGCAAGACGCGCGCGTGGGAGTGAACCAGCGTTGCCAGACGCCTCGATTTTGGCGGGACAGTTTTTGGTCAGGTCACACCTCGGTGTGAATTATAATGGTTCAAGTTTGATTGAACGCAGAAGGCGATATAGTGTAAATAAAAGAATAAAAATGGATAAAATTTATTTATTTTTATCTTCGTTACACAAATTTTGTTAACATGCTTGCAAAAATATTATCTTTATAAAAAAAAACATTATTAGACCAATTATTTTCTCTGGAATAGAACAGGAGTTAAAATAAGAGTAGTAGATTATGTTAAAATATGAACACATATATTGCTATTATTATACTTTGAAAAATATTATTGTTCATAAAAGACCTTTTTTAAAAAGCATTATAGTACATGCATACAGGTGGATGTGTTGTGTAACTATAATTTTATTTAAATTAGCCAGCGACTACTACATAAATGTAATATATTTTTTTAAGTTATCTAACAACACAATTTAATAATTACGAGTTGTTTTAAACTTAATTGAGCGAAATACTACATAAATGCCAAATCAAGTTTTGTTATTACAGTACCTAAAAATTTTAGTTTCAATAAAAATCTATAAAAGTACATATAAATTAGTTATGGCATAAAATTATATCTAAACTCTATATAATCCAAGTAACCTAATTTAAGTACAAAGATCACGGCGTTCCTACAAAATAAAAACAAAATGTGTACCAATCTAGCAATCCACTGTATGTATACTTGTGTCGGGTAACATATAGTGCATAACCTGTTCATGAAGGTCGTATCTAATCCGACTACTGTATGTAAAAATATTATCTTTATTAAAGACGCCAATAAAATTTGATTACATTTTCGCGTTTAACGTGAACACCTCACGGTACCAGGGCTGAGATTTGTTAAATTTCGATATGCTTTCTATTATCCCGGCACTTCACTTGGGTTTTCGTATTTGCTATTAGTAAACTTGACAACAGTCCGTCCTTATCGACCTTTATAAGAAATGAAAAGGACAGACTGATGTCAATTGCACAAATAGCAAACACGAATAGCCAAGTGAAGCGCAGGTATTATACTATAAGTAGGTATGGTAATACTGAAACAGTCGCGTAATCTATGTTGTAAGGCGAACGTTTGAAACTCCGTCGAGTTTTAGCCGAAATATCACAATTTCGAATGGGGAACCTGTGCTATTGGGATTTGGTTAAGATCAAGAGGAGCCGAATTCGTCCATCCACGAGAGGTATTTCTGTATGTCGCCTTTGGAAACGGATTTGTTGCACTTGGCCAGCGCCTCCATGAAGTCCTGCTTGGTCACGGGAAGGTCCAGCTCTTCCTTGGCTAATTGTTTGATCTGTTCCGGTTTTAGACCGGCGATCTTTCTACGCATCGACATCATTGATGCATCCCTGCAACCAAGGGAATTTTAAAATTTTTACTATTATTGATTATTATATTTTAGTCCCATGCGAATGACTACCTGCGAGCGGAAAGCAGAATGCGTCGACTACTAACTTTAACGTAACATTCTAAATCGGTAGGAGCTGGGCTGCAAACTGCCTATGCGTGCCTTAATTTTTATCTCCAAATGCTAGGATGACTATTCGTATTTCAGCTTTATTTTGGTTTAAGAATTTAGTAAGAAACAGAGAAGTATTATATTTAATGGGTTCGGTACTGAAGGCATTACTGACATGAAATTATACTTTTTTTTAAATTGACTTATTGATAGCTCTTTGGAAACGTCCAATATTTTTAACAGAATTCAAAAAAGGAGGAGGTTCTGTGTTAGACTGTATATATATATATATTTTATGTATGTTCACCGATTTCTCTGTCAACTGTGGACCGATTTCCAAAATTCTTTTTTTATTTGAAAGAGTGCACTTCCGATGTGGTTCCGACCATTGGAACCAAGTCAGGATTTGATGGTGGAATCCGGGGAAATCGAGGGAAACCTTCAAATTTCAAAGGCACGCACGATGTTTTTTATGCATGTTCACCGATTTCTCCGTCAATTGTGTTATTGTTTACATGGACGATGTAATTTTCACTAAAATGGTTGAAATAAAAAAAAATAAACAAAACATAAAACCTACTAACAGATATTATTTTCTACTTTTTAGTTCCCTTTTCGATTTAGAAGTCCGTTTTATTTTTGTTTAAAAATGTTCCTACCACCCATTAAGGACATCTTTTAGCTGGTGAGAAGATTGATTGTTATGGCATACACACAGTATAAATACAGACAGTGTTCATTTCATTTAGCCTCGGCATTCAAAACGTCTCAGTAGTAGACTGACCAAGTATGCAAAACAACTTGTTTATATAATGTCATGGTTTCAGGAAGACTTACTTTGCAAAACGTCTAGGTCGTGAAATGCATAAGTAGGCAGAATTACTCAATATTGTAAATAAGGTCTTGATTATATTAAGGACTATGTAAGGTTATCCAGATAATTTCCCTATTTAATCATTATCCGCCTTATTCCAAAAACGCGGACTAGTTAGTTTTTCTACTAGTTACTTTATCTTAAACTAATGTTGACTCTGTCTTTTTTTCCCAAACAAAAGCGATAGCATGAGTTTTAGTCCAGATTTGACTTAAGTCTACATTTTGTAATAAGTAAGTTGTTTTACAGCCAAGTCATACAATCTACTTTGGCTTATAGCAATGAAGGCGCTTTACAGATCAAGAAACTTTGCTGCCTTTGACAATAATACAACTAAGGTGCTGTGCTCGCCAAGGAAAGTAAGGCCTTCAGTACCGAACTCTATCTAAACATAAATATTTGTAACACACACCAATAAGCCTAGCCCCAAAGTAAGACTAAGCACTGTAAGGCTTGTGTTATGGGATACTAGGGTAACGGATAGAATACATAATACTGACACGTCATATCTACATAAAAAGGTAAAAATGAGTTATATATAAATTTAATCTTTTTTTTTCTGTGTCGATCTATTTATATATTCGTGAAGATTTAAGTCCTTTTTTGGTCTTTTAATTTTTTTTGAAGATTTTTATTGTTCACAACGCTGAAGCGACATAAATTTTGGTGTTTGTGGTTGATTTTTGTAAACCAATATACATATCTACAAAAGTTATTAATATCCGCGCCAGAGTAACTATCAAGTTTCCTGGCTATGATTCGCAGATCCACCTCAGTGTATAGGGTCCACTTTGACCTCCCCCCATAGGTTGATCTGTCGTAATGCCTCCTTACTCTCACACTCCTATGATGACAGAGGAATGTATATGCGTTGCTAGAGACTAATTATAATAAACCATGCCTGCAAACGTTAGTTTTATCCGCGCCAGAGTAACCATCAAGTCTCTTGGCTATAGTCCGTAGATCCACCTCAGGGTCTACTTTAACCTCCCATAGGTTGATCTGTCGTAATTTCTCCCTACTCTCCTACGTTTACTAGAGACTAATTATATTTAAACATACCTGCAAACGTTAGTGATATCCGCGCCAGAGTAACCATCAAGTTTCCTGGCTATAGTCCGTAGATCCACCTCAGGGTCCACTTTGACCTCCCTTAGGTTAATCGCCAGTAATGCTTCCCTACCATCCTGTGTCGGTAAAGGGATGTATATGCGTTTTTCGAGACGACGCCTTAAAGCTTCGTCGATGTCCCACGGGAAGTTGGTCGCTGCTAACACCATTACTACCTGTGAGGAAGGTTGGATGTTTTTTAATTTATAAATTTAAAGAAATGGTTTGAATCCTGTCTGAAACCTCGACCGGTTGCAGAGGAGACGGTTCAAAAGTTAATTTTCTTATGTGGAAATATTTTTTCTGCAAAGAAGTTGCCTCTAGTAGGTATATCTATATACACATCCGGACACATATCTGCCTAGCATTTTCAGTATAGACGGTCCCTAGCTGAAAATAAATGTAACATTAATCAAAATGCTTTCATGCAGTATTGAAGCTATCTATAAACCATCTTTATCTTCAGTTTCATTTTTTTTCTAGTCACGTAGGCAAATGACTCTACCCCACCTGATGTTAAGTGGTGATAAAGTCCAAAAGCGAAGCTGGCACAGCAGTTATAAACTGCCACACCAACCATCCTCACCTTGCCGGCCTGCAAAAATGCTTCTACACGCCTCTCTTAAAGGACCCCAGATTGTAGGAAGGAGGGAACACAAAGAATTCCACTTACGATTAGTACGATAAAGAGATGAGTCACCAATTTTTTTTGTTCATGTAGGAATAGTGGCCACAGTAAGAAAAATATTATTATTGCTCAACCTAACATAATTATATTTTCGCTATAAACCATTGAGAATTATAATAGATGTGTCCGGAAACATATACATTTACCCTTTACGCCGGTTACCTTGGCGGGTTCATCGGTGGCTGACCCTAATCCATCCATTTGCACTAACAGTTCGGACTTGACCCGCCTCGATGCCTCGTGTTCCGAGTCGGAGCCTCGTCGAGAACACAAAGAGTCGATCTCGTCGATAAATATAGTGCTGGGAGCGTAGAACCGCGCCTATAATATGGACAATAAACACAAAATAAGCTACAGTAGAACGCCGATTAACCGAATCGCCAATTATCCAAATCAGTCCTAAGCGTAATTTAAAAAATAAAACCAAGTTTTTTTTTGTTGTAACAAGTTGGAACTCGCAGTCTAGATATATTTCAACTGTTAGACGTTTTGCAGACGACGGGGCGGGGCGGGCATTTTGTCCGCGAAGCAATAAAAACCGCGTCTGCCCGTCGATGTTTGCTGCTGCCCGCGCCGCGTACACAAAGCACACGACGGGCAAAGGCGGTCAGTTCAGGACGTTCGTTCTAGTGAATAGTCCATCACTAAAAAGCGCGTGGCGCGGACCGAGCTGACCGCCCCGCGCCGCCGTCTGCGTTACTGCATATAAACTGGTTTGTATGATCCACGGCGGGCAGCCGCGGACATGCCGCGCCGCCAGTGCCCGCCGGGCACCCGCGGCGCGGGCTTTTTGCCCTCTGTGTGCGTTTGTAATATATGATTCACTTTGTGCTATCGTTCGCGGCGAAATTGACCGGCCCGCCCCGCCGTCTGCAAAGCGCCTTATGGTTGAAAGCTAGAGGCAAGACAATATATGTTTTGCGTGGCGCGGTTTTTCTTTTTGCTACTATGTATCTCATTCATTGTATTTGGTATTTTAGAGCTGTTTGTTAAACTTATAAGGTTTATTCTATGTGTGATAATTTTTTTCTCTTTATTACCAGTCTATGTTCAATTCGATTATCCGAATCGACCCCGCTCCCAATTAATTCGGATAATCGGCGTTCTACTGTACATATTTTTATAAACTTATACATATTAACGGGATTGTTACCATGACGGCCTGCGTGGCCGGGTGGTATACACGCCGGGTTTCAAGGTGTCGCCTACTCGAGAGTTTGAATCCCGGTGGGGGCAGATGTTTGTGTGATGATTACAAGAATTTGTACTCTAGTCATGGATGTTCAATAAGTATTTCTATATAAATATACTCATATATGTTTAAGTATATGTATTCTATCCGTTACTCTAGTATCCCATAACACCAGCCTACAGTGCCTGCAGTGCTTACTTTGGGGCTGAACTGTGGTGGGAGTGTTGGAAATATTTATTTATTTATATTTATACCTTATTTTCTATGAGTCTCGAATATTTCGGATCTGTTGCAAGTGGTTCTTTGTCAACTACAAGCTTTTACTCCGTGATCATGGCGCTTGCAACAGTGCCGAAATATTGGACTCATAAAAACAAGGTACATGGTAACTAGGGTTACCAACCCTACTATATTAAAAGATCAAATACTATATTTCGAAATAAAAATATAGTAGGCGAAACTACTAGATTTTGCTTAAATCAGATTTTTGCCAGTAAAATCTTTCTTAAAAATAAAAACTCAATTATTAAGGTATAGAGCAGCAACAATATACTCATTTGAAAAATAAATATTTTAACCACATTTTTTTTGCCATCTTCTATATATTTAGAGGTAACTCTAATGGTACCTATCCCGATAATAGCTATAAACATAAGCTATGTGAAGCACTTTAAGATATCGATATTTCCTCATTATAATGCACAAACACTGCTATGCGAATCCTATTTGTATTATTACGGTGAACCGAGGTAGTATATAAAATATGCTATGTGCATCAGCCGGAATATTGTCAAATATTAACAGCTGTCCTATGCCGGCTATTATACTTGGCTATTCGTATTCGCTATTTGTTAATTTGACATCAGTCTGTCCTTTTTTCTCCTCATGAAGCGTAATAAGGACAGACTGTTGTCAAGTTTACAAATAGCAAACACTAATAGCCAAACAAAGTGCTTGTATTAAATTTATATTTATTGCAGATAGCAGATATTGGTTTGACAATGACTAAATGCCATTTTCATAATTACCATTTCGAACAATAGCCACACTAATAGGGTGTTTGACAAGTTATAAGAAACAGTTTCACGTTATTAACTTAGATTTATGGAGTCTCTAAAAAGCAGATTCATCATTCTGTTGCGTTTCTCAGGAAAAGAACTAAATCCAAAATTCCATTTTCAAGTTGATACGAAGTGACGTCATACGACTATCAATAAAACGTCAAACGATACAATGTAATGTCACTTTGACTGGACAAAAACAATACATTCTTCATTCATACCTCAGCCCTCCTAGCATGAGCACTGCGATATGATATATAGCTCGTTTTTATCACACTCAACTGTCAAATTACTATGGAGTTTGACAGTTAGACGCGATAAAAACGTGATATAATGTAAATTGTGGTGCTCATGCTACGGGTACAGGTAACAGAACAAAAGGCAGACGAAGCGCATAGTACACGCAATGCACACAACCAAAGCAAATACGAAGTCAAAGGTGAATGCTTTTTTGATGTGTAGCATCTTTCCTCTCGCTTTCGTGCAATTTGTGGGAGTGATTACGTGAAGTGGGACGGAAGTGTGTAACAGGAAGTTTGGGAAGAGCGTGCTATTTGATTTGATTTTAGAACATAATGTTCAAATGGCTTATTCCTTTTGTAGTAGGTTGTATTTCTTTTTTTTACTTTATAGGGTGAGGTTTCAAATGTTACACATCATACGCGACTACTGTAAGGCTCGCTCGTCTTTTTTGTCTTTGTGAACAGTTTTAACGATGAATGAACAACGCGGCACATTTTTGAAACTTTATAGTCACAATACGATGCGTTTGGTGTACTGACGCGAATTGATAGTTGCTTTTGACTACGTATTTGCTATGGTGCCACGCATTTCGTGTTCCGTACGCTTCTTTGCCTTTTGTTCTGTACCCTTAGTACGAGTTTGAGCTCACGATTGGTGAAAAGTATCCAAATATACTTAAAATTTAAGAAGACGCAAATGATTAAATGATAGAATTTAAACACTGTTTATTTGATTTTAAACGAAAACAATAAAATCGGTACCCTTAGTACGAGTGCGAGCTCACGAAAACTATCATAGTTTTCGTAATTGTAAAACTCGTACTACGGGTACTGGTAATCCGAGATACATACCATTTCGAACAGTAACCGCACAAGTTTCTCCGATTCTCCCCGGTATTTGGAAGTGAGCGTAGAAGAGGAAACGTTGAAGAAAGTGGTACCGCATTCTGTCGCCACTGCTTTGGCTAACATCGTCTTCCCTGTGCCAGGCGGGCCTACCATCAAAACCCCCTTCCATGGTCTTCTGATACCCTGAATAGATAAAAATATTATGTACTAGTTGACCCCGCGTACTTCGTACGGGTTAAAATAATTTGGAAGAAATGACGAACCCGAGCCTGCCGTACCAAAAGGGACGAACGTCAAATGTTTGACAGGAAAGAAGATAGAACAGTTTATATGGGAAAATGAAATTGACGTTTTTACTATCTTCCTCGCAATTTTTCCATATTTTCTCACCTTTTAAACCTTCCCTAGACCTTCACGAACATTTCAAGATCAAGATAAGATATATCCGTTCAGCCGTTCTCGAGTATTTGCGAGACCAACGAACAGCAATTAATTTTTATATATATAAGATGAGATAAAATATTTTGTCTATGAGAAATATCTACAATGACAAAAGTCAGTGAAAGCTTCCATGAATAAATAATAACAAAATAAAGTATTTATCAAAAAGTTATAGATCCAAATTTCACATCTTTGATACGAAATGATGTAAGATCGGAGAGATAACCAAATTATATGAAACGAGCCTTTAGGCAAAGAGATTGTTGTTTACAACATAAGTCTCTTTACAGGTTATAAGTTGTCCGTGTGTAAAATTTCATCCAAATCTGTTCAGCCGCTTTTGCGTCATTGAATAACAAAGATACAAACTTACACATTTTGTAATATTAATAGGATTTGTACAAGGAATAATTCCAAAATTGGTTAGTAAATATAACAAGAATAATTTAAAAATATTTGGTTACAGTTTTTTTTATAAACAGTAAAAATATTTGGTTACAAGTTTCATACTCACTTTGAAAAAATCTGGCATCCACATTGGCAAGACTACGGCCTCTTCGAGCAATCTCTTTGCTTCCGCTAGGTCGGCGATGTCGTCCCATCTAATGTTGGGATTCTTTTGTACAATATCTCGTTCTGAAATTATGTAAAAGTACAAGTATTTTTTATTATTTATTATTCAAATACATTTTTTTGTTTTATTCAAATTTAATCTAAAAAAGATAGTAGTTAAAATACCCTTATGTTTTTTTAACTAGCTATTCATATTAGGGGCCGTTCAAGTATTACGTAAGCAGATTTATTACAATTATTTACCCCCCCCCCCCCCTGTCAGCAAAAGTAACTATAGCTCTTACATACTCTACACTACTCAAACCAAAACATTTGAAGTAGCACAGCTATATTACATGTCACGCGATTATGTTAAGGAGGCAGAATCAATCAGTATCTTCAAAAAGAGATTAAAACAACATATTATACCTGAACATTTGGAGTAAATTAAGATACAAATACCTACTTTTGCCTAACTCTTTTTTTTCATTTCATTTTCAATGGACTGTAATGGTTTTTTATATATGAGAAATTAAGTTTTTTTAACCTTAAAGAGAAGATAAAAATTCATGCGATTATAGCACTACAGCTATATAATTATAAAGAACAAATTACTGTACATCACTACTAGTGGTTTTGGTAGAAACATTGGTAAAGTTAAAGTAATACTGGGTAGGTAAAAGCTCTTTTGAAAGTCTATTTTTAAAAAATAAATGACTTTTATGTTACTGACCAAGCATATCTACCAAGTCGCCGTCTGCGGCCGACGGCGGCTCAAATCTCCTCTCTTCCTCTTTGTGTTTCTCGTCGTCTGTGTCACCGTTATTGTTGTCTCTGTCTTGCTTGTCTTTGCCAATGTTGCCGTGGTCCTTATTGCTTGTGTCCTTTGTTTTTGCTATAGAAGAAGAATGAAATTAAAGCTGTTTTTATTGAGAACGTAGCGGCCTTCCATAGTCTCCATGCAGTAAACTTGTTTGCGTTGACTTAACTTCGAAATAATAATTTATTCATTTACATTATGTGTACGTATTTTGCTTTTGATATGGAGAAATGAATGCTCAGCCGGAGCTCACAAATGTTACTATATAAATACAAATTGTATTTTGTTTTTGTTGAATTAGCTTTTATTTATTCTCAATCAACACGAAGTCAAATTAATATTGTAAGTAGTATTATTAAGGTTTTGAACATATATTAAGTCAACAAATTAACTTTGTTGATGAAAATTAATGGTAAACAAACTTTGCCAACTTTGAAATAAGTTTTCTACCATCACTTATTGAATTAAAAGTTACAGCGTAAACAGAGAACATAGGAAATTACAAGAGATAAATGAATTATTGATTAAATAATCCACTTAATAAAGTTAAAAAGTAGTGGTGAAGCTAATTATAAAGGGCTTGCTGTCACAATGAGGGCTACCGTTTTCTGCCTCACCAGATGGCGCCACTGTTGAGTGAGGTCCTAAATCGTAACTTTTAAAGTTTATTAATACGCACATGAAATCAAAGGTTACATTTAGATCGTATTTTAACACAAAAGAACCATATCCTAAAAATAATAGGCCATGCCACAGTGACGCGCAGTTCCGTTTTATTCGGAAAAAATGGGAATATAATCATTTTTGTAAGCTCAAATTTTTAATAACTGACATTCATTGCCACATAACTCATATTTGCCATAATTAAGCCGAATTGTTACCAATTATTCACAATATTATTTTAATTAGAAATAAAGCCGCATAGTCAACCAACAAGCAATAACAATTGATATTTCGGAGACCGCACGCTACACTAGCGCCTCTAGCGGCGGATTCATACGCGATAGCCCTCATTGAATTAAGTAATCATTTACAACGTAATGGTAAATAACTGCACTTTCAAATAAAATAAAGAAGAAGTTCTAAACCGTGCTTGGGCAGACAATATAGATACATATTAAGATTATAGATTTCTAGGCAAAATTTTTGTTTTGAAAAATAGGGCCGTTTTATATAACAGATGGAGGTCAAGGCCTACGTCGTCTTTTGAGGTCTAATTTTTCGCCATTCCAACCAATATACAGCAAAATTGGTTCAATTGAACGTAAAATCAGAGTAACAGGCAAACTTACTATCGCCATTAAGGCCTGCACTGAGTTAAGCGGGAGCACGGAGCGGACGTCCGCTCCGCGTATTTTATCCATGTTATTTATGAGCTATGAAATGACAAGAAACTGCACTCACTCATACTTCTTTTTGGAAGATTCAAAAGAATTAAATACTACATATCCAATATTAATAAAGATATATTATTTTGATATATTAAAGTATTAAGTTACCCGCGAAGCGTGAATGTACTCACCACTATGAGCTTTGTTGGCGGCATTTTTCGTATTCCTTGCGTCGGAGGTCTTTCTCTGTGATGTGGTTGCGTTCCGGCCCGTAGTGGGTTTCTTGTTCTCTACGCGGCTGTTCCGTGGATTGTTACGTGCTGACTTCATGACTGGAGGTCCTCTGCGAAAAACAGTCACAATTTAATAATATTAAGTATTTATTTGCTGCAAAAATCATATATATACAAATACAGAAACCTTAAAATTTGACAACCCATCTTTTTTTGGGAACAAAAAGGGAATGTGACTCAGCCTTAGACCGCCGTATTACCGGAAGTCGCTGATATTCTGCCACAACCTATTTTAACTAAAACATGCTCCATTTTGTGATACCAACAAGTAAAAGTTTAAAAAATTAATACATCCATTATTAAAAATCTAAATTGAATACAGTTTTGGCCGCAGTATTCAATTACATTCATCATGATGTATCCCAAGAAAATTATTACCAGAAAAAAGAAACTCCTCGGCAACATTGTTAAGCTGGTTTAGAACCAGCGTCTTTAGCGTTCCAGGTGAATGCACTGACCGCTATACTACAGAGACTTTATTGGAAAACATACTCAACGCAGCACCAAAACACTAAAGAATAGCCTTTTTTGCTATATTTCAATCCCGATAGGCGTTAGGCCCCCTGGTCCCGGGTTGGCAGGTTCTCGAAATATAGGTCAAATGGTTCAAGAAGAAGAGTTCAGTGTTTACTTGGGTCTGCGCTGGCAGGGGTGGCCAAGAGCTGGGGTGGCGGTCTGGGGGTAGCGGCTATTCATCGGGGTCGCTCACATGTGGTTCCGGGTCGGCAGGTTTTCGTAATCTAGTTCAAATGGTTCAATAAGAAGAGTTCAGTCTTTACTTGTGCTCTGCGCTGGTGGGGGGCGGCCAAGAGTTTGGGTCGCGATCTGGGGGCGGGGACTATTCATCGGGGTGGATCACATCTGGGGGCGGCGGCTATTCATCGGGGTTGATCACATCTGGTCCCGGGTCGGCAGGTCTCGTAATCTAGGTCAAATAGTTCAATAAGAAGAGTTTAGTGTATTTACTTGTGCTCTGCGCTGGTGGGGGGCGGCCAAGCGTTGGGGTCGCGTTCTGAGGGCGGGGGCTATTCATCGGGGTCGATCACATCTGGTCCCGGGTCGGCAGTTCCTTGTAATCTAGGTCAAATGGTTCAATAAGAAGAGTTTAGTGTGTTTACTTGTGCTCTGCGCTGGTGGGGGGCGGCCAAGCGTTGGGGTCGCGGTCTGGGGGTGGGGGCCAGACGTCGGGGTCGATTTCGTGCGGCGCCGGCCCCCACATCTGGTCCCGGGTCGGCAGGTCCTCATAATCTGTAGGTCAAACAAAACACATCTTAAAAGGTGTCCTATTGACATCTTTGCATAGTACAAGCATAAAATAGACATTACACAAGGTTATCTGCATAGAAAGTGCGCTCGAGCAACGCACACATAGTCAACGCTTACTGTCACAATAATTCGAACCAGTTCAGATTACTGTGAGCGCGAGTTTCATCCGCAGCAATAAAAATCTGTTCAATAGACGATTGTTCAAATTCATTAAATTTAACGACGAGTAGTCGTTTTTTCTTAATTTGTTTTTTTTAAAATTGATATACAGTTGTAAAAAATCCTTTAACGAAATTGAAGGCCACGTATTCTCCACACCATGACGATCAGTTTTTTCTGGATCATTCCTGGGAAATTTATGGTTATGTAGATATTGAAGGTCAAAGTCACAATTTTTTTCATAATTTATACATTAACTAGCAAACCAGTGAACCAAGTGTTCACCAAAAAAAAAAAAAAAAAGTATTTAATTAATTGAGAACTTCGGAGATTTTGTGTGGTTTCGTTTGAAATAGAAATCAAGTGATTTCTTGAAAACCGGAAGTGCTACGTTACTCACATCTGGTTTGTAGTCTTATCAGACTATTCTCAACTTATAACTTAACATTCTCTTTATCTATCTCTTACGGTTTGGCCGCTGAAACAGCACCACGGACGGACGGACGGACGGACTTGTCTAATAGATAAGAGATATTTTTAAAACGTTATTTAGAAGCTTTTTTATCGACGCACTTACACACACATACACACAGGCACATTTTTTGTATAAGGCAATGTTGACAATCCTAGCGCGACCGCCGAGCGTAGGTATTCAAAGTGAAGAACATTCATGAAATTACCTTCTGTAATGTTAATTTTGTGGTATAAGGCTGCGTTTCCACAGAAGCGCAAAAATATGTTTCATGTGGCCGCCACTTTATTATTTAACTGTCCATCTCGTTTACAGACGGACTGAAAACGGAGGCTTGGTAACAAGGTTCCGTTATCACGGAAGAGAAGGACAGCCATAACACCACACGGTTGTGGCTACCACAGTGCATTGTTGAGTGAGTACTAACTAACGACGGCAGATGCAGCAGGGATCAACGGCTGGATGTCCTTTTTGAGGAACAGACTGAGACATCCTATAACAGACCATTGCGAGAGTTGCTTAAAATCCACAATTGCATAACGAAAGCGCTAAAGCCAGGGCGCCATCGAGCATATGCATGCATAATTGCATTTAATAATTTCAATACATTACAACATTATTTATACACGTTACTGGTCAATCGAATACGTAAACAGTGTTTTTACACGCTGGACACGCACGTGTTTGTGAATTGCTATTTTTTATACGTTATATTACATACGAGTTTTTAGGATTCCGTAAACAAAGAGTGACAAATGGAATCTTATTAGTATTCCTTCGCTGTCTATCTGTCATGTAGGCTGTCTGACTGTCATTCGCCCAGATAGCGAAGTTCGAGTCCCGTCTGCTGCCTGGTCCGCATGGAATTTTATCTAGTATATTTTTCTTTAGATTCTCACATCTAGCAGTTAAATGCTTAAAAATAGAAAAGTATAACTATAATTGCTATTTCTTCTTTCAAATGTTTAATACATGTAAAGGTATTCATTTGGTATTGTCGGTTACCTACAATGCGAAGAGATGGCGCTGCCTTGCAGCTTAAAAAACACTAGAAAGAATTCGACACAGCCATCAGGGCCGCGGTAGCATAATGGTCAGTGCATTATCCCGGATAGCAAAGAATTATCTAGTTCTAAAATTGTACTATAGTTGTTGTGATGTTTTAATTTTTATAATGAGCATTGCTTTAACTGAATGAATATGTAAACAAATAAGAATATATTGGGGTAAGACCACAATAAAATAACACTACAATTTTTGTTGTGTTTTTTGCTACGCCCCGTCCTTGTATATATAAAAAATACATTCTTGTAATTATGAATTGGTCAAACTAAGACCCGATTAGCCTTTCTTTGTGTGATAGTAATTTCATGACAATACTAATAAGTTAATTGACTATAATAAAAGTAAAAAGCAGACGACACGGCGATCGAGAAAGCACTAATTGACACGAACTTTAATTACTATTGGAAAGTCGGCTTGCTTGCATCCCGCCGCGCCGCGACAACTGCAAAGCCGACCGCGCCTAGGGTTACCAGATCATAAAATTAATGTAAAATTATAAGTTAGCAGAAAAAGAATCCAGTTCATTTGAAAAATTATGAGATTTTCTCTTAAACAAAATTATAAATAATTGTTTTTTTGCGTCACGCTCATGCATCGCAGTATGTCATATGGTTACTGTGGGGCACGCAGGCTGTTATCATCGTACTGAGCTCTAGCTCTCGCAGTACCATAAGATCTATTTTATCGAAAATTTAAGTAATCCTGAGAATTACAAAACCCAGCCGAAATCCTGAGAAGACTAATAAAAAACGACGGGTTGCACTCGACGGGAAGTGAAAACTTAAATATTAATATTTTTGATATTTTGGAATGTTTAGGGAATAATTTTGCACGAATTGCTTTAATTTGATAATTAAACACTTTTTATACACGAATTTTACGAATACACATCAGTTTAGCCACTACACAGACGGTCGAGCCATCAGCTGTCATCATCCATGGATGCGCGTGGCATGTTGTAACATAAACACTCACGAACATTCGGGCAAGCGCCCTGCGCCGCCTAAACGAAACAGCAGGCGCAGGCATACATTTTCGCCGCGCCGTAGAAAGAGAGGGGGGATACTTCCTCTACCATGCCGCGCCGGCTGTCTACTCTCCATTCGTCTTATAAATTTTCGATCAGGTCAGTTTAACATTTTTTACCCATTATAAAAAAGGGTACAACGCCGCCAAAGAAGTTTTCACTTCAAAAAAACTCCTGATGTCTCTGAATTTCAGATATGGTAACCCTAGCCGCACCGCCATAAGATCAGCCACGGTTGATTACTTGCAACTGCGAAATGGTCTACGCGTAAATTACGTAAATTCGCCGTAAGAAATAGGCATTTTAATGCGACCGTCAACTCAGTTATTATCGTCATAGCGCTCACTGTCAAGTTGAATAATATACACATAATAGATAAAACTTTCATTTAATATTAGTTGTGTATTTACTCAACGAAGTATCTTTTTTAAGGGAAACTTTAATGGAGAAAAACCGTCTCGTAAGAAAGGTTCAATGCCATTGTAAAAGTCCAAAGTACTAGTCCTATGGAACTCTATCCCAATACAAATGGAGGACTCATCGTGGGGGAGACTACTGGAGGGTTCAAGGAACGTTTCTGATGGCGGAAAAATATTAATCTGACTGTTTGCATGGTGTGGCGGGTGGTCGTAAGAAGGGGCAGAAAAAAGGACAATATTTAAGCGCATCAGACATTGAGAAGGGATATTACGTGAACCCTCCACCAGTAGCTCCTATTCAAAAGACTGACGATTTGGACGCGACCAAAAGTCATGGCCGATTGTTGAATCTTTTTATGCTGCCCTAGACTTTCGACTCTAAAGAGCTCAAGTATGGTGGGAATACTTTACAAGGTGCAAGGTTGTCCCGTTATGTTTTTCAGCAACGCTCGAGTAAATCCCAAAATCCCCGCTTGCACTCCCTTCCCACTATGAGCGTCAGCTCAACACCAACATAAGTTTACTCTATAAAGCTGGTAACCAGTCCAAGCGCTATTTCAGTGTATAATGTAGTTTTAGTTCTCGGGTTTGAAATACATATTATAAACCTTCCGTGAAGTGAACACCACAATAAAATGTTTAAATGACTGCATCGATGTTTATAAAAAGCTGTCAGTGGAAAACTACGACACAAACATACAATAGGTCAATTCAACTATATTCATACAAAAAGCTATGTCTGGTTCTTAAAAATGGTCTTGATTGACAATGAAGCTTGTTTGATATATCTTGATCGTGCGATATTGAAAAAACAATTAAATATGTTTTTGATGGATACAACATGTGCACTACTTCAATTGATGTTTAGAAACATATTCATTTGCAAATGATTACTTCCAAGTAATTTAGCTTGAATTGAGGCTGAATAAATAATGTTATGGATGGATGTTGTGATTATTATATTTGTCATGATAATGTATTTACGACAGCTAAAGTAGCGGTCGTAAAACACAATCATGACAAAAAAAATCTTGAGCGGCATAAAAGCGTTTAAAAATTCTTTTTTTCTTGTTACAAACAATATTCCTCACAATCAAATTCTAATATTCAACTATAACAGCCGTGAAATGGTAGCGAGAAATTGATACGAATCTCGAGTCATAATAGACACCGACTTTTACTTTAGATTCATTTTATTGAAAAAAGCATTGAAATTGTACAATTGTTTTTTAAATAAACATTTAGCCTACGTTTGTAGGTTTTTTTCGGCATCCCTTCAGCGGTCATCTATTCGGTCTCCCGCCAATGCGTGAGATGGAACTTATTTTTTTTCAAGAAATGTTAGGTTTTGATAAAATATATATATATTAATCGCGTTAGTTGATAGCATTTTAAGTTAACTCCAAGTAAATAGAAAATCGAAAATATCCAACAACTTCGATTGATAGTTTAAGTTCATGTTGCATGAAAAATAAATTTAAGTATTCCAAAAACCATTGTAAGTGCACCGTTATTATAAAGTTATAATAATAATAATATATTTTCAACACTCACACCAATTAGCCTAGCTCCAAAATAAGCCTGTAAGGATTGTGTTATGGGATGCTAGGGTAACGGATAGAATAAATATACTGTACATATATAAGCATATTTATATAGAAATACGTATTAAACATCCATGACCGGGATTCGAACCCAGGACCTCCCGAGTCGGAGACACCATGAAACCCAGCGTACAAACCACTCGGTCACGAACTTATACGATCTTACTACAAAATATGTAGTTCCAACTTTTTTAACGAATGCCAAACTTTTTGGCAAATTTTGTATGTAATTTTTTTTTAACTCATGTTGAAGGCATGTCTAACGTTTTTGTGTAATAAGGATAGCATTTATATGATATATTCTAGGGGGAATAAGTTCGAGGTCTGCCAACCTCAGCGATAACTGCTTGCTTCGGATCTTCATAGTTTCTCCCATTACTACGATAGGCTGCAAACAATTATAGTCTGAAGTGCGTCCGAGTCCGTTGACTCTTTACTTATTATGTCGTAAGAAACATTCGTAATGCTTAAATCATCGGAAACAACTGCACTCACGTCACGACGGACGACAACAATGCTTCATGTTAATCGATATCGGCGTTTTAATGCGCACACGATGCGACTGGCCGGTAGCATCGATACTCGATATGGTTCATTATGTCACTAGACACAATGGCCGGAGGAAGGGAAAGGTTCCATCATCGGCTCATTATTAAAATTTAATTAAACCTTTTTCAGGGGCTATGACGGTTGGGTAGCTTCGAACAATGAAAGATGCCACTGGCTGACTGACCGACCGTTAACTGTACGATAACGCATTTCATACTTCTATTTGAATGTTGTATTGAATTAAGACGATTTCCTACTGATGTGATTTTACTTTGATATTCAAGTAATCAACAAACACATTCAAATTGAATACTCAGGCGTTGTCTGCGCCCTCGAAATTTGGCCGAGTTTGATGCTAGTGTTTTAATAAGATTGACGTGAATTTTGTCAATCACAACATAGGGAGCAACAGCACGAAAATATTGTGAGTTACATAGTGAATAGCCAGCTACAGATTCAGAACTCGAGAATCTTAACTTCTCCATTGATAGATCTTATGTGGGAGGTTTATTTATGTACTTGGCAATTAGTTTAAATCCTGTACCAGGCGTATAACTAGAACTATAATATTATATCCTAGTGCGGTAAAGCAACGTAACACGACGCGATTCGTGATCCACTCAAAGTGTTAAAAGATGTAGTCTACATTTTTGCATAAAAATATGTCACACATGTAATTTATAAGCTGGTGTGATATTAATCGAATTAAGCGCTACTTCAGCTAATAAGGTCATTTACAGCAAATGGCTTGTCTAAATAACCTAAGATCATTTAAAGCAACTCACTTCCTGCGAGAGGTGTGAGCGCCTTCTCCCCGTCGTGTTGGAACATTTGCAGCGTTGCCACTGTTGCCTTCAGCTGTTCGTACTCACGCGCCATCTGCTTCTGGACCTGGAAACAGTCAAACTCTTCAACATACTTCATCATCATCATCCTTTAAATGTACCCACGGCTGGGACACAGGCCTTTCTATAGATGGAATACGGAGATAGGGCCAGACCCATCACGCGTTCCCAGTGCGGATTGGTGGATGCTAACGATTGCAGATGCAGCCGGGACCAATGGCTTAACGTGTCTGAAGCACGGCGGAGCTCGACATAGTAAATTTTTGGTCGCCCATCTAAGACCGACCACTGAGAAAGTTGCTTAACTAAAGCCGATCGCGCTAAACACTTGCGCCATCGAGTTCCTCGACAACATACTTGTTATGAGCTAAGAGGAAGAGAAATGAAGGAGCACTTTGCAGGAAGGCGAAATGAGGACAGCTGGTGTGGCCGGTAAAACTGCAGTACCAGCTTTCAACGCGTCTGGGCTCCACCGTCACTTAAAATCAGGTGAAGTGGAGTCATTTGTCTGACCTTTTCATAGAAAAAGGGTGCCACTCAAACCAATATACAATCGCTTTGCTACTCAGGGTGGATTAGGACTTATGCTACTTTAAAAAAAATAGCAGTTTTTTGTTTGTTTCACATTTTCTGTGTCCGTAATTTAGGACCGGTTTTCAAAATTCTATAAAAACCCCAAGGTTATACTCCCAGGGTGGTCCCATATAAATTTCATGGAGATTGATTCTGATCTTGGGGGAGGGGTATTTATTACGTCTCCCTCCTCTCTCCTGTAACTTTTAAAGATTAAATATCGTGTTGATGTTGCTCGAACTTGTCAAAAGTGGAAAATAAAAACTATTTTAACAAAAATATAAAACGACTTCTAGTCCAGGCAACGAATGCTCAAAAACAGGTATAGAGGGAATTGCTTAGAACACAATTTTTGACTTCGTGACTCTGTTAGGACTAGTTAGGAGGTAAACATATCAAAAGTCCCCGCCCGTAGCCCTTAAGCCGGGGGGAGGGGGGGGGGGGGCTTGAAGGTCCCATTTTTAGGTTTTTCGCATATATCTCGAAAACTATGCATCCTAGCGACATGAGACTTTCACAAAAGTGAAAGCTGATTAAATTTGCTACAAGTCTTATTCAGTCAAATTTTTTGATATCTTGTATAGTTTTCGAGATATCCGCTCTTGAAAGTCTGTAATTATGGAAAAAGAAATTGTTCCCATTTTTGCTCTATTTGACCGGATAACTCTTCAACAATGCACCCAAAAAATAAATGCCGGCCGTAGGGTTGTAGAGCATTAAATTATCTTCAATAATAGAAACAATTGCCTTTTTTTTATTTAAGGACAAAATTGTTAGTGTAGTAGACGTATGGGGGCGGTACGGTGGGCACTAGGCCGCGTACTCAGCCCCCACGCGCGGGCCGTCCTGCGCACGTCTGTGGGGTCCTCACGATACCCCGGGAGACCCCTGCCGCGGAACCTCGGCAAGGCCGGGAGGCTGCTAGGTGCGGAGACGCGGAAGAATCCCTAAACGGGGATTCCGCGGCTTCGCACTAAGCAGCTTAGAGGGTGTTCGCAGGGTTTTTTAGCGGATATTATGCCGTATAGCGCCCGTAAGGGTTACGGGGTCCTCAGTGGGCAGCCACTGCTGGGGCTCGTAAGGCTTGCGGGAGCCAGGTGTGAGCTCCATAAGTAAAAAAGAAAGTAAATTAGTGTCATTGAGAAACTGTAATTATCTAATAATAATATCTGTAATAATGATAGCCGCTCTTGAAAATCTGTAATTATAGAAAAAAAAATGCTTTACATTTATACCCCCCGGCTTAAGGGCTACGGGCGGGGACTTTTGATATGTTTACCTCCTAACTAGTCCTAACAAAGTCACGAAGTCAAAAATTGTGTTCTAAGCAATTCCCTCTATACCTTTTCGTTGCCTGGACTATTCATAAAAACAAAACCCACTAAAAAGTAAAAAAATATACATATTCTTCACTTATATCAAAAGTACATTTAAGGTAAAATTAACGTTTAGAGTCGGTGCCATGCATTTTGATTACTATTTGGCATCCACAGGAGCAAAATTAGTACTTAAAACGATCTCAAGCAAGGCTGTTTTTATAATTTTTATTTTTTAAGCATGTAAACTGCTTGATGTTTAAATCTAAAGAAAATATAACTAGAAAAAAATCCACGCAGACCAGGCAGCAGACGGGACTCGAACCCGCACCCTTCGCTATCCGGGCGAATGCATTGACCAATTATGCTACCGCGGCCCTGACGGCCGCGTCGAAATTCCTCTAGCCATTCTTAAGCTGCAAGGCAGCGCCATTTGTAACCCACAATGTCAAATGAATACTTTTACAAGTATTAAACTTTTGAAAGAAGATATAGCAATTATAGTTATAATATTATTAAGACTTTTTATTACAATATTGTTAAGACTATTATTTGACTATGTAGCTTGGTACAAAGCTGGATTTGGACGCAGTTATTTCAAGTTACATAGTTATTTCTATAACTATCTTAAATTCAACTTTTAAAATGTTACTAACCCCTTTAATACAATTGACGAAGCGCAATGGCTTCGATAATAATTAGATATATAAACCATATATGAACATACACTATTATAAAAATTACTTACGGGAAAAAGCCATGAGAAAGCAAATAAGGACACAACTGGTTTGCCCTATATGGTTACAAATTTTACTAGCACCTGCAGTTTGGGATTTCACTCCAATCCATTCAAGGCTACCACTACCTGGCCACAGTTTGAACGGCTGTGTTTGCTGATAAAACAGGTTTCCTTGTAGCTATTTCAGTATTAAGATAATTAATACAAAACTAGTTTACCGACAGACTACGCTTAAAAAAGGTGATTGTAACAAAGTTTTTGGAAATTGTGCAGGTCATCGTGCTTACCGGGGACGAATACAATACAATGTGTTAGGAATTCTGATAAAGACCGCCACAGTTTTGTATGAGAAGTTGTTTCGGTGTAAACAAACTAAAAGTAAATAGGTGCTTCTTATATCGTCGTAAAAAAACGTTTCTTAAAAAATTAGAAAAAAACTGTTATGATCGGTACAACCAGAGTAAAAAATACAAAAATCTGGTGTCGCATCGCCGATCGCGACAGGGCTCAACTCAACTCAACAAAATAGAATTAATAACTATGATTCTAATATTTGCTTGTGAGATTTGTCATTGCTGAATAACAAGAATTTGTACAAAATTAGTAATGTGATCACTAAACGGTGTCCAGTCCAGCAACAAAAACTTTTCTAGAACCGATTTATGAGACCATTGTAATGGCTCAATTACACTTGTTCGTTAACACGAATACCACTGGAATTCAGGTAAACGACTAAGCGTAAATGAACGGAAATGAGTACGCCCGTATTCGGGTAGTTTTCGTTTTGGTTACCCGACACTGTCTTCCAGCCCGTATTCCAGTGTAAATATTGCTTCGGGTGTCCGAATTAGAGTTTATCTTTCGTACACCCGAATACGGGCCAAAGACCAAGTGTAATTGAGCCATAAGACCGATTCTTTGGTGTTCTATTGTTTATGTACGACCGACTTCTTAGGTGAAAACTGCTTACGTTGTTTAAAGAAAATCATCTTACATTTAAATTGAAAATAAGTATTACACTAAAAAACTGTTTATGTGTAACAATGCTAGTAACGTCTGATTATTTTGGAGTTCACGGATCGAGGATATAGTATGTATTGTATAAAAAAAATCTAATTCATTTTATAAGCTCTGAACAAAAAATATTTATCTACATTAAAGGAAAACTAATTGTATATTTGATTAACATTAGTAAGTTTAGTCATTTAGTTCAGTATGACGCCAGACTATACGACATAAAAATGTATGTCACAGACAGATTAAATACAAGATTGCTAAGGCGTCCGCGCATACTAACTAGAATAAAAATCAATTGTTCGCTAGGGACAACAAAGGCGTCACAACTAGAATGAATATTGATAAGATTGTCACCGATGTGGTGCTAGCAGCAGTGAGATTGTGGCGCGAGCGCAAAAGGGAAATTTCGATCTCCCACAAAGATTACCACACCAAGTTCTCAAATAAACAATATAAAAGTTGAGCGCTTCCCACGCGAAGGCATCAAGTTCGTTGGCTAACAAAACTACATCCGTCGACAGGTCGGAGGTTTACGACATAACAATCAGATTTTCACCCAATTTAGTTACAAACACCTTGACCTACATTTGTAAGGAATCGCCTTTTAATATGCTAAGGCCGGTGCGTATGCTAGGAAGTTGGTAATTAAGAAAACTACCCACATTCCTGACAGCTGTTCCACTTTCGCGGCACAAATATTTTTTATACCTAACACTTTTCACTACACTAATGAAAATCCATATTTCGCGTACATTTAGATTCGGAATCACCGCAATATTCACCCCAAATGCGTCATTAGCGAACGATATATCACAACTGAGGTGGGTTCAACGAACTCGGTGGTCGGCGTCAAACGATCGACCGACAGAAAAGACCTAGATACAAAGTCCTTACAAATCATGTGTAGTAAACTAATATTAAAGTCAGTACTCTTATCAATTCTGTGTGAACTAGGAAAACGTTTAAATTAAAGATTGCGCCTTAAGTTTACTTACTTACGGATCACTAGACTTTGCCCTCGAATTCTTCATCTCAACTATATAAATCAAAGAATCCCTGGAGAACCTTTAATGGAGATAAAAATACAAACAGAATAGTCCTAGACTTCTTAGTTTTTTAAAGATTGAAGTTTGTTTTGAGATTGTTTCGAGATAAAGTCTCAAGTAGCTTTTGCATTATTAAGTAACAAACATTTGAAGATACACATTTTGAACAAATTTAAAAATATTATAAATTTTTAAATTTGTCCTTAATAACAAATAAGAAAATATTTATACATACTTATCAAAGGCGGCTGGGAAACGAATCGAATATTCCGACGAAATCGAATGTAGCACAATGAATGCTAATCATCAAACCGTTACAAAACAGTTAACGCCGCACTTTGTCTCCTACACTAGA